GCCGTCCAGTGTGCGGGAAAGGAGGAAGAACTACCGGTAGTTCTTCCTCCCCCCATTTCCATTTGAATTCTACGGGATTTTTCTTATCTTCGTTACAGACCACTACTGCGCATTTTCCTACGTTCGCCGACAGTCTCCATTTTCGGGTGTATCCTACCGCCGCATCTATTTGTTCTTGCAACCCTTCTGGTGTTTCGGATACCCCCACGAAATCATCTGCAAACATCAGTCCGGACACACTCTTTCCCTCTACTTGGACTCCCTGTCTTACTGCTTCAACCGCCCTTATCAAATCGTTGATGTAAATCTTAAAAAGAGTGGGTGACATCGTACAGCCCTGTGCGACTCCTTGGAGTATATCCACGTACTTCGAAATTTCCCCATCCAACATCACCGCACTTCTTGTGCATTCTGTCATCTTTTTCAACATCCTCCACATTTTCCCCCGGATGCCGATGTCCCACATCTTTTTCCACAATCCATTGCGCCATATGGTGTCGTAGGCTTTTCGTATATCGAGGAAGAAACAGTATGTCGTACGCCCGGCGTCTTTCCTACCTTGGATGATTTTACTCAACGTATATACATGGTCTACACAACTACGATCTGGTCTAAGTCCAGCTTGTCCTTCGCTGATCTTTTGTTTCCCCTCCAACATGTCTCCCATTCTATTGTCTATCATCTTGCCAAACAGTTTCCCCACTGTGCTCAACAGGGTTATCCCTCTATAATTCCCCGGGTCAGCTTTATCCCCCTTTTTGAACAGGTTCACGACTACTCCTTCTCTCCATCTCTTCGGCCGTTTCTTGGGGGGGGGGGTTCCGGACTTTCTTGTTCTCTCAACGCTCCTCCGCCCCTCTATAGACGCTTGACAGGGCAGCACTTCTTTATTGAGAAACTCCTCTCGATAAAAATGTCCGATTCTGCGGAGCTCTCCGGTGCACATTGCAAGCTGGGCACACTGATGATGGGAAAAACCCCGCGATGAGAACGCATATTCATCGATCAACGATGTGGGCATCTTCTTCCTATCACTCGCTTTCCCCCCCACCACATCGCCCATACCCTCGCTGCCGTACGGCCTCACTCGTGTATCATCTGTCTTCCACAACATTCATTCACACCATGACTCCCGTCTGGACGCGTGGGCGTGGGTCTGTTTTAGGAATACTCGACTCTTCTTCTCAACAGAGTCGCGCGTCGCACACACTCTCTCTACCTCTCTCTCTCCGTCTCTCTCTCTCTCTCTCGCATATTAGTCGATCGACATCATGGATGGATGGGCACTTTTACACCCACCTTGTCCTTCCTCCAGTCCTCCACCAATCCCTCTCTACCTCTCTCCTCGTCATTGTCTACCGGACTCGCTGGTTCATTTGTCTTCGACTGCACACACTGGTGAATTCTTTTCAGCTCTCTCTCGTCGCCATCGCCTTCATAGATACACGCATGCGTCAATCTCCTCTTGGAAGTATTCCAGTTCTAAACGATCAACAAGAAGACGGTCGATTCTCTTCGTTCGGCGGCGCCGCGAAGCGCTCCCGAAAATCCACCATACACTGTCATTTAGGAACGATGGACTGACGGGCAGCGTGCACTCCGCATTTTTGTCGTTGATGGCACTCAACCTTCTGTAGTGTCGGACAAACAAGGCATCGTGACGTCCGTCCTCGTTCCGGCCTACTATAATATAATGCGGTAGATATTCTCATCGTGGCGGTGGCGCGGCAAGCGCCAGAAAAAAATAAATGTATGATCTTCTTCCAAAGGTCGATACCTGTAGTCTAGATGCAACGCCCGGCCTTCTCCATTCAACACCAACGCAACACAGCAGCAGTGGTGAGTGCATTTTTCGCCTACTGCCTGGGCTCTGCACTCTACGTTGACGTTTGCCTTGGAATCGCTCAGTTTGGGCGGCGGTGCGAAAGCGCCAAGAACCCTGCAGAGGTGGTAGGTATGTATTATTCACTCCGGCTGAAACTCGACGTCTCACAGAGCAGCGGGGTAATTAGCAGCGGGGTTATTAGCCAACCCTCAAAATCTAGACGATAGCTTCACGACCTTGGTTAGACCCCGAGCCGACGCCGTTCGGCGTCTCTCTTCTCGGACGGAGTCCGCAGGACGCCCTCTATCCGCAAGAGCCCGCTGTCGCGGGCTCAGGGCGTACTGCTGTACCTGCATCTGTCCGTCTGAAGAAATTGCCGCGAGACTGTCAAGATATGCTGCTGCTGTGATTGGACGACCGACCTTTCGTGTGCAAGCTGGCGTTCGTGGGATGCTGATGTCCGAATTTCTGCAAAGATTCCCTGTGGTCGGAGGATGCCGCAATTTTTTGTGAAAAAAATCCCGTCGCAGCTAATACCTAGGGAACCCGGATAATTGGGAAAATTTCGGACATCAACACGCTGAGGGGTCATCGGAGAGAAATGCGGAGAATTGCCCCATCGCGGCACGGCGGCGAATAGGAAAATTGACTCCTACTCCCGCACATCAAATCGAGTCGCAGCAACTAAATAGTCACCGCACGAGAGAATTGGCCGCTTTCAGAAGAAAACAATTTCTGCGAAAACTCCCTGTCGTGGTCGATTCCGCACATCAACGCGCCGTCGCACCATCTTCAGCGCGTCCCGATTGGTGTTCGTTTTTCACCACCGTCCCAATTGGTATTCGTTTTTCACCACCTACAACTAATCTATCCTGACTATTTTGTGACTCCCACCAAGCTCCCACACTCTCAACTCTGAGGATAACTCTTCAGACGCCCACCCCCCATCCGGCCCTTGAATAGAATACAAACAACGTTTTTTCCGGGCCTACAGCAGTATGTACGAAGACGCCGATCCGTGCCAAGACCCGCGTCCTTTACGGTACATGGACCAATGCTTTGAGTAAGGTATACTACATTTTGGGGGCGATGGGTGATAGCCTCTTGAGGCTTTCTCTTGAAGAGCACGCGCAAGACTTGTTATCCGTGAACTAGTGGATGGGTAAAGTGCAGATGGACCCAACGGTCATGCGGTCGCAAAACACTACTCACATCCCAATATATCCCCTAATTTCTCCGACGTAGCATCGAGCAATTCCTTCGTAGTCCAATGGTTAGGATATATCGCTCTCACCGATGAGACCCGGGTTCAATTCCCGGCGAGGGAGATTCCTTTTTCTTCATTTCCATGCATGCTGAATACATACGGTATGATTTTGCCATTTTTTGCTCCTTTGCTCTAAAGAGCGAATGTTCCACATGGAATGTTCTATTTCCATACAACAGGACATCTCGTTTAATCATTTTTTCGCTTTCGGCTCAAACAACGAGCCGGTCGCCCCGGTGGTCTGGTTGGTATCCTCGAAACCTTCTAGAGATCAGGTCAGGGGTTCGAATCCCGGCGTAAGCGAGCTTTCCTTGCAAAGTGAGTTTTTCACTCGCTTCCGCTCCTGGCCAAGTGGATAGCGCTACAAGTAGTTCGTGTGTACACAGAGGGAAGAGAGTGCTGAACTCTTCTCGCATTAAAAATCGAAGGCAAGTACCGCAGGAGGGGAGGGTAGAGAGGGACTCTTCTGTGTGACCACGGGTTGGAGTAAACGGCATTAAATAGCGCTGTGAGCGCTGTGAGCGCTGATTTGAAGTGAAGACAAAAAAAAAAAAAAAAAACATGGAATGAATTGAAACATGTGTTCCGCGCAAGGATGATACACAGCCGGCACAAGCCATCTTCGTTTTAGAGCGAGTCTAGTCTGCACGTAGGACAACATTCTTGCGAGAGGGGTTATGCACGTGGTGCCTGAAAAACGTTCAAATTTGACGATTTGCAGAAACACTGGTACGTGCTTTGTAAATATCCCAAAAGAAGCAATAACCGAGCAAAAGCAAAAAGGGAGATAGGAAGGTCGTGCGGGGTTTACTGTGAAGGTCTTGCTCAGAACACAAAACACTTGGAGTACAGAAAAAAAAAGTGGCTTCGCACAAACGACCACAAAAAATTATGGAAAAAACGCTGGAAAAACACTGAGCTACAGTATATATACCACCGAAGGTTTGCGGTTCAACAGGGATTTTTGCCATACCCTCCGGGTTCAACCGAACCCGCCTCCCGAAGCAATGCCGGGGAAATATTCAGTCGTACGCACTATTAGAAATTAAAGCAAAATAGAGAAGCTTCGTATGCAGACGTTGTCGAGTTGCATCCTTGGGTTAGGGTAAGGGTGAGGGTTAGGGTTTGAGAGCTGCCAACAAGATACCTTGACTCCTAACGCTTCCGGCGAGGGCTCGTGGTCCGAGCTGAGCCTGTGCGGCTGGGGAGCGTCGTCGTAGTCGCTCCCCCCTCCCCGCACGCGGCGTTCTCTCTTGCGCCGGTCGTTCCAGACTGGAAGAAACGCGACTGCTTCCGTGGCCGCTGGCGTTGTCGTCGTCGTCGTCGTCGTCGTCGTTGCGATTTTTCAAACGCATCGGTACAGCACGGCACGGGATTAAAGCTCTGCATACAGCAGTATCAGCTTCCGAGTATAGGGCCAAACAGGCTCAAATTCAAGGCCAGTTGTGTCCAGCAGGCTTTCTTCCCCACTCACTGCTGTTGCAGAGACTACAACACATCCCCTGGACTGGAGGTATGTCTCAAACAGGTAATTGTAGTCTTTCAGTTATTGCAAAATATATTTTTCTAAAAAATGATCGACTTCTGCACCGAAAAACGCTGACTCTCGGGTGTGGCAGGTGGGAATAGGGTTGGGTAGGGTGTGTGTGTGTGCATGCAAGTTCAAGATTCTGTTGCTTTTTACTTAAGAACCAGGTGCTCGGGCACACTTGCCCCCATGATCAAGAGACCACGCCGATTCCAAGGCTGGTCACCTGCACTGCCGTCCTACCGAGTCATCTCGGTGGACATCGATGTGTTGTAAACACCAATAGGGGTACTCGTCAGAAAGGTGATGTATCATATTTTGGCTTCTCTGGTGGTATGTCCTACAGTAGAAAGGCGATCACGCACAACAACGACAACAACAACAACAACAACAACAACAACAACAACAACAACAACAACAACAACAACAACAACAAGACTAACCGATGATGCCTCCTCCAAGAGAAGCGACGTAACGCTCCCGTACTCACCTTGCGCCCCTACTGGTGCTGCTGCTCTCGCCTCCGCTGCGTGCATTGCTTCGGACGCCAGTCTGCAAATCTCCTCTACCGCCTCCGCGCTGAAGTCGGCCGGCGGGTCCCGAAAGGTTTGCACCAGGACAACCTATCGCGTTTGAAAATGTGTCCGCCAGGCGTAGCCAGGCATGCGGCAAAACACGCTTAAGCTGAGGGGAGCGTCAAACCCACTCTGTCTACGATTACGTTCACTTGCGTGCCCGTCAAGAACAAGAACAAGGAGAGCATCGAGAACAAGAGGGGGCCGAGATAACAACAACCAACATATTGAAGAGAGATATGAAAATCACTTTTTTTTGTGTGTATGGATGGGTCATGGGCTTGGTGTCACCGCGGTTTTCGTCGTAGTCGCCGCCGTCGTTGTTCTTGCTCTCGAGACTTCGACCAACCAAGGCAACATTTGTGTAGTTCTGGCGCCCGCGGACGTGCAAGTAGGAGTGCACCTATCGTACGTTTCGCAGAGCGACAACACCCATCATGATGCTTTGCTCCGATATGGCCCTCGCCTCACGCACGAGACACTCACAACAAGGGCGTACCGTAGGTTGCATGACGTAAGATACCACACACCCCGGACCAATCTTCAAAAGCACGTTTACTCGACCACGACGAGCATGCCGAGTTCAAATGATACGTTTTCGGAAAGCTCTCCATGAGACGGTTCCACCGCCGCCATTCTCGGTGCCGTCGCTGGTTTTCCTGCCAAGAAATCGAGCTTTGAAAAATCGGGCCAGGGGGTGTGGTATCTTGTGCAACCTACGGTTACACAGACGAATGAGTAACACCCCGCCTTCAAACTATCTGTCCGCGAAGACGGAGACCGTGAGGACACGGGAGCCTTTCGCGGAAATGTCAGCTGCCGTTTCCTCTGTCTGTTTGTGCCGTCACCATTCGCCTGGGAAATCTCGGCTCTGCTGTAGGTGGGGCTTGGTGGTGTGTGTTGGCAGCGTGGCGAAAAATCTGGAGCGGGGGATTTTTTTCTTCTTTTTTTTTTACGTACCGTGCCGTAACGGTCCACGGTGAGGCCGGGGCAGCCTTCCACGGCCCCGTGATATAGCCGGTAACAGTCCGTTTCCTCCTCCAGTAGCTTCCGCATCAGTGGCTCCCTTGCCGCCAGCGCCGTCTATTCGAATGACGGGGAAGAGTTTTGCCGCACAGCGAATATGGATCACGAAGGGGAAGGCGGGGGGTAAGCGAACAGATGAGGCACGCCGGTGTGCGTTGTCCCTCGTCGTATCGAACACCTGCAGGGTACATACAGCAAAGGAGGATAAATAATCACTACAAGTCTCGCCACTACTCTTGGCCCTGCAAATCGTTCGCCAACACCTGCTAACTCAAGGAAATACGACAAGCACAGCTTCGTACCTTGGTAACCGCCAAAGGAGAAGTTTCCGATGGTGTGGCGACTGTATGCAAAGCCTCAAGTGCTCGACTAGACTATACCACAAACTCAACGGCGGTTACACGAGACCGCGGTCACTTTAGCTGACCTTGAAGGACACCAGCAGTTCCGCAGTAGTCGCGGCTGCTTCCACCCGCCATGCCGTCGCATCGTCGGCACTACCGCCGTACGCATCACCACGATGATGAGGGGAAAGTGATGCCGGCTCCGTGTTGCCGGCCGCAGCAGCAGCAGGATCACAGCCGTTGCTCCCGTCCCCCGGGCGGCGCCGTCCCATAACGTTCGACCTTGTGGGTGCATCCGCAGCAGTACCAACGGTGTTCCTCTTCCAGCCTTCCAGCTGGTTCGACCCCGCGATCACGCCGCTGTCTCCGCTGTCGTCGGGCGTTGCTGGCAGAGACGGCATGCCAGCGGGGTGGTTCGGCGGCCGGCCCGTCGCGGTGCATGATCTCAGCCGCAGGTTGACGTTAGTTGGCGAGGCAAAAGGCTGACAGACCGGCAAACCAAGGATTAGCAGTAGGGCGAGCACTACGTGACGACACACGCCATCCCTTCGAAGCGGCATCATCACCACAGGTCGGATGGGCCTCTTTGTTCTCTTCGCCCCTCCTGCTCTGAGTACAGCAGCACACGGCAGCAGAGAGCGAGAGAGTCGAGACGAGGAGCGAGCATGGCAAGATGTGCGGTGATTTGATTGGCCAACAAGGCGACAGTCCTGCCCCCTCCCCCGCTCCGGACTCTGGCGCACTGGCACACCTACTGTATACACAATGCACAACACACAATACTTTGATATCTCGCTTCCTCTGTCCTGCTCCTTCTCATGTCTTCGACAGAGGGAAAGCGAGGAAGAGCTTCTCGGCCGAATGAACAGGTTGGAGCCAAGCGACGATGGAGCGGAAGTTCCAGCTCTTCACAGCCCAAGGGTACGCAAAATCCCACCGACGATCCGTGTTGCTTGTCTTCAGGATTTTCAGCGGCAGTAGTTGTGGCCACTGTAATATCTAGTGCCCGCCGTCCTCCCCACCCGTTAGATTAAATTAAGATGTGCTATTAGTACGCACGCTCGACCTATTTCCAACGGGCGAAGCAATCCAATGCTCAATGTATTGACTACAACACCGCCTTTATCCTCTCATGCCCGACCCGCTCTTCCCACGCCGCGAACTACAGCACCGGCAACAGCTACGTGTTCGTGTGAAACCTTTCATCTCCAAAGCGGCACGGGCAAGCTCCGGTTCTGGCCTTCCCTCCTCACCGATGCCGCGCAACGGAGGCTGTTTGAAGAGCTCACCGTCGACCCCGACCTGCGCCCTCTAGACCCAAAGGCTGGTAGCAGCGGCGGCGGCGGCGGCGGCGGCGGCGGCGGCAGCGGAAACCCCGGGCTCAGGGAAGACGGCGCAGCGAGGGGGAGGTGGATGCAGCGACCGATAAAGCTTTTCGGGAGGGAGATTCCGCAGCCCCGTCTCACTTGCTTCTACGGGCGGACAGGCGTTTCCTACAGGTGTGTTCCTTTTGAGTCACAACGTGTCCCCTGTCTCCCTGCACAAACCTACGGTAGGTGACGCAAGATACCACGCCCCCTGGACCGATTTTCACAGCTCAATTACTCCACGATGAAGAAGATTGAGATTCACGGATAAAGCCATATTTCGTTTTCGGAAAGCTCTCTCTCGATGAGACGACTTCAACGCCATATTCTCGGCGCTGCCACTCTTTCTGCTGTGGAAGAAATCGGGCTCGGAAAATCGGTCTACGAGGTGTGTGATATGTTTTGTGTCACCTACGGTAATGCTCGCCTGTGAGTGTTCCTGTACTTCCTGCGGGGCTAGCCAGTTGATGTTATCACGAGGAAAAGACCTGCCCAGAGTAGTGGGCATGCACTTCTTTGTCCTCTTTTTTTTCCCGGCCCTTGTAGTCTGGGGAACGCCGCCGCCCCGCCCCCTCTCAGCCCTTTTCTCGTAAAACATGTTGTCCTTGACGACATACTTGGTTGTACCACTTTTTTCTTCGACGCGTTCTTCTGTTGTTGCTCAGGTACAGCGGGAAAACTCTCGAAGCCACCCCTTGGGACGGCGTGCCGGCCATCCAGGAGATTCTAGCCGCCGCGGGAGCCGCGGCCGGGGTTGACCCCGGCTACTTCAATTGCGTCCTCCTCAACTGGTACCGGGACGGAGCCGACTACATGGGGTGGCACTCCGGTGAGAGGCGTGACAAATGGGGCCGGGCGGCGGCACTCACATTTTTTTTTTTTCCATCACTTTGAATAAATCAGCGCTCACAGAGTTTTCTGCCGGGAATGAGCTCCAATCCGTGGTCCCACACACATACCTAATAATACACGATTTTCAGCAGCATTGTAAAGCACAAAGGCGTGCTGGGGTGTGTGTTAGTGCGCACCCAGGTCGCAGAAGACAATGCTACCTGGTCGTCGTTTATTTTTTCCCACCCAATCGACATACTATTGGTCAACCGACCCTTCCAGGTTGAGGACAGCGCTCTCTCTTTCCGAGTAGCGTTGCGAAACGAGGTTGCACACGGCTGTGCGGCAACAATAAAAAATCACGTGGGCCGGCACCTGGCCTCAAGACCGCTGCAGATAGACGTGAGCCTTCGGTCGGCCAGTCCGTTTTTCGCTGTGGTTCTGGCATCTATGTGGGGAACTGCCCGTTTTTATTACGTTCTGCACCCCCCACGACAACGCTGCATGTGGCGTCGGCAAGATGATGAAAAGGAGCTCGAGAAGGGAGCAGCGATAGCGTCCGTTTCGCTCGGAGCAGGACGACGGTTTCAGCTGCGGCGAAAAAAGGACCACGCCCAAAAGGTGGGTGGCTTGAGGCGGTTGAACGTGTAGGCCATGCAGAGAGCGAGTGCACTCCGCACCGTTACTCCTTCCCTCACCACTCCCTGCGCACCTCCTCTTGTCAACGAACATCCTCACCGGCGAATGTCTCGCATGTCTCCCCAACCTTAGACGCATCGACGGTAGCTCAATTGTCGACGTCCATCAACACCTGGGCCTCTGTTTGGTTCATGTCTGAAGCGAAACGGTCTTTGCCATAGCAGAGTATGGTAGTTTAGGGTGTTCGAGGCAGACAGCTTGCTGTCAGAGCCGCAGGGAGAAAAGTTTTTTTCAACCCAGGATACCACCAAGGACAGGGAAGCAGAGGATCTGGAAAGAGAACCATCCCGTTTTTGTTTTGGCGAGACAACATCAACAACGACAACGACATCAATTCTCCGTTTGCAGGTGGAGTTTATCCTGGGGGGAGGGTCACTGCTCCTCATGGAAGGCAGCACCCAAGAGCACTGGCAGCACCGCGTGCCGAAGCGCACGGCGAAGGAGGAGCGCGAGGTTCGGCAATCACCACAAGAAAGAAGAGAGGCGAAAGCCTTGTCGCCACTGCTGCTGTCATGGTCGGGGCAAGGCGGCAAGGAGTCGTCGTCGTTAAAGACGGGCGAATCCGGGGGAAATGGAAGCATCACGGGTGGTCGGGTAGGTTCGTCGTTGCTGACATCGTCGGCAGGTGCAAGGGGAGGGAGGATCAACCTGACGTTTAGACGTGTCAAAGAAGGCGTTTCATGAGGGTTGGGTACTGTTTTTGTTATCCCCGAGGTCGGGTGGACAGTCGTTGTTTAGATCTGTTTTATATTTATTGGAAGCGACACCGCAAGGCAGCCCGGCAAGCCTCAAGGAACATGTTTCACCGGCCAATAACCGCCGCAGAAAAAACACATCAGAAGGGTACGTACCATGTTGGCGGCGGAAGGCGAGCCCCGCAATGTACGAGACGGGGAATCGTGCTTTGTCATGGGTATATGTACCGGCAGCAGGGAGTAGGCAGCAGCAGCGGCGACAGACCCCTTTGAGCCAGGGGTAATGCAAGCTGGATACACTGCGGTGGATGGGTAAATAGAACGACTCTCTTTCTCGCCAGCGGGGAGGGGATGGAGCCATGCGTACATCCCCCTGCAGAACCAACCAGGTTGGGCATCGTGTTGCGGGGCATGCAACCGCTGGTGGTGCTGCTGTCGTACACAAAACCGCTCGGAATCAATGCCACGCACACCGGACGGTTATGAGGGACTTCAAAATTGCCATGTGCTGGCGAAAAAAAAAAAGCATGATGCCATGATTTCTGGTTAGAACGTCGTAAGCCGGAATGGGTCCGAACAGGCGGGATAAGTTTTTGGATGCTACAAGTCGAACCTGTTCTGGAAAAAAAATGAACTGGATATCCAACAACGAAATTATTGCGACGTTGCTCGAAAAGTTTTGTTGTCAGGCGTTTTGACCCATTCAACGAAAAAAATCCGTGGTTGCTACCCCACGGATCGATTCACGCGAAGGAATGTGTTGCGTGTCCACTTCCAGTATTCAACGAGCGTGTTTTTGTTTCAGGAATTTGCAAATTACCGACTTCCGCTCGCGATGGGAGGGAGCCACATTTTCTACAAAAATCAGCACTGATGTTATTTAGCAGCATCTCTAGTGCTAAGGGAGAATCAATCCTAACAACGCACAAGGAATTTATCCGCGAAAGCCTAACACTCGCAATACTACACGATACTATCACGATGTACGTATGGTTTTCGTCGTGCCAACTGACTCGGCGTCAGAAAAGCTAAAAGCACCACACGCTGTACTCAACAAATTAAAGCACGAACTCGCGTCGGTTAAGGAGCCAATATTCTCGATTGTGATCTAGTCAACAAACATGGTTCAGATCAGGGCGAGACCACACTCCCACTGCGTACGGCACAGCACCAAGTCCTGCAGGCGCCACGGCGCGCCTTGACCGACACCGTAGAGAATCGAGTAGGCACCGATGAGCCTGCCGAATGACGAAGCTTCTCTCTACATATATATATCCAATCAGCGCAAAACCCCGACATACCGCGCGCATCACCGCACGCATGTAGTAGATACTTTCTAACAGTAACACACACCAATATATATATATATATTTATTTTCGCACCAAACACAACTACTCACTCTGCTCGAAAAATTGTCACGTAACAAAAGTCGAAAGGGATAAACAATGAAGAGTTTGCACGCCACCCCGTGTTAATTTGCGCCCACCTCCAAGCCTTGTCGGACTCTGCTGTGACCTACAAAACCGCCAGTGGTGCGTGCCATGGCCAACAGAAACTCCAAAATCCTACAAAAAGAGCGGCGGCGGGTGGGCGTCTTTGTCTTCCCCACTGAGGGGGCGCCGCGAAATGCTCTCAATCGCGCCGGCGTGCGACAGCGACAACAATCCTATGGGAAGAAAATACTGATAACCTTTGCTACCTCGCATTTCTCAATCACCGGTTCTACCTTGCGCTGTGCAAAAATTAATCCGCCACCGCAGCCGCCGACATTCTGTGCGCGAGCGGCACGACGGATGATACAAGACGACAATCGCGTGGCGCCATCAAGGTCAAGTATCAGGTGCAGCAACACACCGCTGACGACAAGATTGGTCCGCGGGGACAGACCTGTCTCCTCGCCCGCAATCCTCCCACCACCGGTCGTTATGCAAACACCGCCGCGGACACATGTACCACTCTCTTTCCTAGAGTCAAAAACACGCCATGCCATGAGGAAAGCAATCAATCCCGCAAGCAGGTCAAAAGAGATAACGCCCCCCCGTCCTCCAGTTACGTCCAATCCAAGAAAATATAGCTGAGAGTAGTACAAAAAATAGAAGATCATATCTTTTTACTGCCGTAGTTGCGCCCTCCCCCCCCCCCCCCCCCCCATGCCCAGCTGACCAGGCTACACGCCCAACCAACCCTTCCGAACACTCTGGTCCTTGGCAATTTCATATTTTTTTCTGCAGCTGGGGCTAAACTACGATAATATTTTTAGACAAAAAAAAACAAGCGCGAAATACGACGGCTGGGAGGCTCGCGATGCAGCAGTACACAGCAGAACGTCAAATAAAACATTAAGTTCACGAGGCGTCATCGACGGCACATGTCAAACATTTGTCGGAGATCATTTCGATCAGCTCATCCAGCCAGTCTTTCTCGCCAGCACCAGCGGCGGCTTCTCGAGCGGAATTGGGAGGCACCGCCGTCCCGGTGCGGCGGACGGGTTCTCGGACCGTTCCACCGGCAGACGGGGGGGGTACCGCCGGAGCCCGTCCGCCGATCCCCCCGCCAATAACGTCTGCCCGGACCTGCGGGGTTGACGGGACTTGGTTGGCTGAAGGTGACGGCATGCTCTCCTCGGTGGGGTGGCCGCCGGTCGCGTAACCGGTCGGCAATCCAGGGCTCGCCGAATCCCTTTCGGCTGCTCCCTGCCCGCTCTCCTGGGTCCCCTCCTGCATCCCGGTCCCCGTCGCCATGTCGTCTCCCCTCTCGTCCGCACCGTCTATCCCCTGGGGTGGCGACGCAACCGGCGAGCTCGATTTGTCCAGCTCTACACAGGCCTCTCCGGTGCCGTTGCCCAACCGTTCCGAGGCCACCGCAGCCGCCGCTGCCGCCGCTGCCGCTGATTCTTCGGCCCCGTCACCGCCGTTCCTCTCGACGCTTACCTCAGGCGTCGAGTCCCCTCCTCCTCCGTCGACGGTAGTGCGGGCAGTCCTCGTCACTTCGACGGCGACGGAGGCGGCGGCGTTATCAGCGGAAGTCCAATCATCCACTGGCGAGCTGTGCGTCACTTCGAGGACCGCCGCCACGGCCGACTGCTCCTCCACCGCGAGGGGCTGGCGCTCCTTGCCAGCAGCCCCGGGGGGCACCGCGAAATCGCCATCGGTAGGTACAGGGTCGTTCACGCCCCCCCCCGCTCCTTCTTCGTCCAGGGAGGCAGCCGGCATCAGCAACTCGTCGGTGCTGCCGCTGCTGCGGCCGGAGAAAGCCTCTGGTGCCGTGGCTCCTTCGACGTCCAAGGACGCAGCGGGCAGGAGCATGCCATCGGCACCGCTGCTGCTGCTGCTGCTGCTGCTTCCACCAGACACTGCTGTCACGATCGTCTTAACCGGGGCAACCTCATCGTCCACACAAGCGACCGGAGGCAGCAACGCACATTCGGGAACAACCATCGCCGCCGCCGCCGCCGCCGCCACCGGCGGCTGCGGATCCACGTCTACACCCGCGGCGGCAGGAGCGGTAGCCGGGTCGGCATCACCTTCCCCGCAAGCACCCGTTAGCGGCAGCGGCGAGTCACCGTCGGCAACGACAACCACAGCCGCTGCCGCCGCCGTCGAGCGCGGGTCGTCGACGCTCAAGGCCGGACGGGAAACCCCACCCTCGCTACCATCCGCCGCCGCCGCCGCCGCCGCCGCCGCCCGCGACGAGGCGAGGCTGCCGTCGTCCCCTTCCAGCCCGGCCTTCCCCGCCGCCATAGAAAACTCCTCGTTTGCGAGGGCACCGACCGTGACCGCTCCGCCTCTCGTCACCACTGCTTGGTCCGCCGCCGCCATGTTGTCCGCGACGTTGTCTGCCGCGCCGCCTACTGCTACTTTATCGACTGCTTCTGCTGATTCTACAATATCGACTGCTGCTGCTGAAGCCGGGGTGCCGTCGGCGGTGGTCACGCCTGCGACTTCTGCTTCTTCGGCCCCGTCCTCCGGAAGGCCGTCCACAAGGGGCAACACCGTGGGCTGTCCTTCAGGAACAGGCGGGCCGGTGATGTGTGGTCACGGACGGGTAACGAGACGTGCTTGTGATGTTAGACGTAGGTTGTTGCTGTCTTTGTCGTTGTCGCAGTCGTTGCCACTGTTGTTGTTGTTGACGTTTGGCATCACAACTACGCTGGACATCAGTAAATACACCTTTTGGGATGTTTTTCGCTACCCACCAGGCGCGTGGGGGGGCTCACACAGTTTGTGTTTATTTCTTCTCCACTGGTGTCAACCATACGCACGCAGGGCACGAAGAAACCACAACGTTAGTTGGGCGGGGCACGGGCTATTTAGGGAGGTGGAAGCCGGCCGCCACCGCGCGCGACGGGGGCGGGGGGGGGGGTACGTGCATGTGTGTTCCTCCGTTACATGCTGTGGGACAGTTGGAACGGGGTTGGCCAGTTGTTCATCACCATGACAGTGCTGCATGCGACCCCTTCGAGAATGTGCGGTGCACCGGGCAACACAGGTGTGCATAGACATGCAAAGAGAAAATACTCGTCGCTGCAAAACCAACCGAAGCGGCCCCCGTGACATGCGACAAGGTGCGTCGAAAAAAAACATTAAAAAATTGGCCAGGGCGGTCGATGCTACAGTAGTAACTAAGAAAAATACACACACCACACGCACACGTATAGCCGCCCGGAAAAATATCCGGGAGGCCAGAATATATGGCGCTTACCTCCTCCACTGGTTGGTTGACAGCGTCCGCCGCCCCCTCCTCCGCCGCAGATCCCTTCGTGTCTTGCAATTGACCAGCAGACGCGGAAGCAGCCGATCCAGCGGTATGGTCTATCGCTGCTGCTGCTGCTGCTGCTGCTACTGCTTCAGAGTATGCGGGCGGCTCGTTGTCGCCGCCTACGGTAGACACTGGCGCCTGGGCCACCACCTCCGGAGGGCCGCCTTTCTCCAGCCCCTCCTCCTTCTTCTCCTCAATGGCAGCAGCAGCGGACGGCGATTCAACAGCAACCTCTCCCCCCACGGCCGTCGGGATGTCTCCCATGGCTATGCTAGTCGCGCTCGGTTCTGCAGGGACGACGGCCGACACCGGCGGCACGTCATCACCGGACAAGGCGGGGTCTCCGCTCGTCTCGACCACAGCCGACGTCGGACCGAGCTTCTCCACGTTCTCGGGCTCAAAGAGTCCGGCGGTAGCAGCAGCACCGGTGGCGGCGGCGGCGGCGGCGGCTTCATCTCCTGCCAACGGCGCCCCATCGTCCAACTCAGATACCTCGCCCACAACCGAGACACTACGGTCCGCAACATCCGCTGCGGAAGGTTGGGCGTCGTCGCTCGTTTGCGGCACAGAAAGGTCCGCGTCAGGGGCAGCCACGTCTCCAGAAATGCCTGGTGGCGGCGACGAGTCCGTCAGGTCCGGGACGGGGAGGTCCCCGCTTGCCTTGGGCGACGCCGAAGGGCGAACGCCGGACACCGTCGCATAATCCGTACCGGGTTCGTTCGCAGTTGTTCCAGAAACGCCAGTGAGCGACGCGGTGGTACCCGGAACGACGAAGTCTCCGCTGTCCTCGGGCGGCGAAGCGCTCATGTCGGGCACCGGGAGGTCGCCGCTAGGCACGGGCACGTCTCCGCCGATGGACGGCTCCTTTGTGTCGGGCACCGAGAGCTCGCCACTCGCCTCGGGCAGCGACGCGCTGATGTCGCTGCTAGGCACGGGCAGGTCTCTGCCGATGGACGCCTCCTTAGTGCCGGGCACCGAGAGGTCCCCGCTCGCCTCGGGCAGCGACGCGCTGATGTCGGGCACCACCGAGAAGTCACCGCCAGCCACGTCTCTGCCGATGGACGCCTCCGCAGTGCCGGGCACCGCGAGATCCCCGCTCGCCTCGGGCAGCGACGCGCTGGTGTCGAGCACAGATACGTCACTGCTAGGCACGGGCAGGTCTCCACCGATAGACGCCTCCGCAGTGCCGGGCACCGAGAGGTCCCCGCTCGCCTTGGGCACCGACGCGCCGCTGTCGGGCACCACCGAGGCGTCATCGCTAGGCACACGCATGTCTACGCCGATGAACGTCTCCGTAGTGCTGGGCACTGCGAGGTCACCGCTCCCCTCGGGCATCGACGCGTTCATGTCGGGCGCCGAGACGTCACCGCTAGGCACGGGCACTTCTCCACCGACAGACACCTCCGCAGTGCCGGTCACCATGAGATCCTCGCTCGCCTCGGGCAGCGACGCGCTCATGTCGCCGCTGGGCACGGGCACGTCTCCGCCAATGGACGCCTCCGCAGTGCCGGGCACCGAGAGGTCCCCGCTCCCCTCGGTAAGCGACACGCTGACGTCGGGCGCCACCGATACGTCACCGCTAGGCATTGGCACGCCTCCGCCGATGGACGCCTCCGAAGTGCCGGGTACCGAGAGGTCACCGCTCGCCTCGGGCACCGACACACCCATGTCGCCGCTAGGCACAGGCACATCTACGCCAGAAGGACCCTCCGTAGAGCCGGGAACGACGAGGTCGGGAACGGCGACGTCACCGCTCTCCTCGGGCAGCGACGCGCTCATCTCGGGCACAGACACGTCACCGAAGGGCACGGGCAGGTCTCCGCCGATAGACGCCTCCGTAGTGCCGGGCACCGAGAGCTCACAACTCGCCTCGGGAAGCGGCACGCCGACATCTCCCCTCGGCGCACGCACGTCTCCGTCCGTTGGCGCCTCCTTAGTGCCGGGCACCGAGAGGTCCCCGCTCGACTCGGGCAGCGACGCGCTACCACCGTCAGGCACCGAGACATCTACAGCGCTAATAGGCTCAGCCACGGACTCAGGTGCTTGGGGGAGTGAGCCTCCGGTGTCGGCGACGGCGAGCACATCCGGCAAGGCCACCTCGGGCACCTGGAGAGGCGAGGACACACGAGGGGGGGTGCAGGGAAGGGAAGATTGGGAGGTATACTCATGAAAACGCATGCCGTAGTGTCGTGACCATTGACTTCGCATCCCTACACACAATGCCGGGACGGAGCGATACGCGAGGTTTTCGCCCACCCGCGCTACGTTTCACAAGGATCAACCAGAAGCTACTGTAATCATCATTGCGTTTCATTGCCGGGGGGCGGGAAGGGGGAATGGGAATAGAGCGAGCTACCCTTTATACCCGGCAGCGGAGGGGATAACAAAATGTTATCGCGGTGGCAACACTCCCCCCCCCCCCTCCCCCCCCGCCCCCGCCCCCCCGCACAGACCACGGCTTACAACAACTAGCATTTCGATCTGCCCGCAAGCACAAGCGGGCGGCAACAACCGAGACAGCCAACTCGGTGTTAGCACCGCCGCACAACGGCGTCCTCCCGCTGGTTATGCACCGAAAATACATGAAAGGCCGACCCATCTCCGGCGCGTGAAACCGGCCACAACGAAACAACGAACAACATACGAGGCGGCGGCACAAGAAAAAAACAAACGACTATGAGTCTAATGCACTCGTAGACACCGGAAGCAGCAGCTCGGGGCGGGGCATTCCCGCTCTCACCTCGAGCTTGCCCTTGCCCTTGCTCGAAGACTTCTTCTTGAGGGACAGGCCGCCGAACAGACCCCTCTTGGGCTTCTTCGCCTCCGCGGATGCGCCCGTCGAAGTCCCTTCTTCCGTTGTCGGGTCGCCGACCACTGACTGCGCGGAGGATGACGGGGTGGAGGCGTGGACGTAGCCCGACGGGGTTTCCAGGGAGGCGGAGCTAAGCGGCGTGTCGCCGGCAGAGGATAGAACTCCTCCCGAGGCGTCGCTAGCCGGGACCTGCCAACAAGAAAAACGCAGCCAACATGAGCAGGAAAAAAAATTGTTGTTCAGTGATTGGGTTACATGATAATCACCGCGGCTAATATACCCGCGGGGGCGTCGCTATTTTAGAGCCTACCTAGACCTCTTGACAACAACGATAAAAAACAACACACGCAGGCCAAGGTCATAAAGATTAAAACACATCGTATTGCACAATCCCTCGCGCGCTTTTTTGCGACAACAATGTTGTCATAAAAAAAAAATCCATCCCGCGGGTGCGCGTACCCGCCGACAACACACGATACGAAAACAGACCATGACAGACCACGATCGATCGAAATCGACGGGCTGCTGTGACAAGAGGGAATCGTCCTCGACAGACGTTGGGAAATCATACCCCTTTACGAAGGGGATCTCCACAGGATGCGTATTACACCGCGACAGAATCAATAGCAGCAGCATGCGGATTCCGACCATCCAGGGTCACGGCAGCAGTCGGGCATTGGCTGGGGCGTGCAATCATACGCACGCCTCCAACAACGAGGGTTACAGCGGTAGATAACTACGTAGATGCCCCTTTGCAGCACCAGCACCTCTCGACCAATCTTCCCCCCCACAAACACACAAAAAAAAATTACCTCATCCCTTGTTATCCCTCAAAACTTGACGACGGCGTTCCCTCCGAGAGGCTGAAACCGCGCCTGATGCTCTCTCTCTCTCTCTCTCTCTCTCTCTCTCTCTCTCTCTCTCTCTCTCTCTCTCTCTTTCTCTCTCTCTCTCTCTCTCTCTCTCTCTCTCTCTCTCTCTCTCTCTCTCTCTCTCTCTCTCTCTCTCTCTCTCTCTCTCTCACCTCGGAGGTTGACGACTTGGTCCTCTTCAGGAACGATGGCTTCCTGAGGCCGAACTTGCTCTTCTTGCCCTTCTTCGACGCCGAGGAAGGGGCGTCGGACGTAGCCGCCAACCCGGCATCCACCAGCGGGGTCTGCCGCTGGAAGAGCAGAGAGGGAACCACAAGGCAACACATACGCACACACGACACAAGAGGATTGGAAACTTACTCTCGTTACAAGCTTTGGACGTGGCATCTGTCAACCACGCCGTCGTGCCGAAAAAAAAACAGCCACCGTCCGTTTCCAGTACTGCTACCATGACACTATCTGAGACAAAAAAAAAAAAAAGTCTCTCCGATACAAGGAGGGGAAGAAGAGCGTGAGTCGACGCTTCTTCCGCTGCAGCATATTTACCTCGGCATCGTCTGGCTGGCCGTTCGACTGCCCAGCACCGACGGCATCGTTGACAGCACCCGACACAGCCGCGGCGGCATCCCCCAAGTCTAGTCCCGCCGCGGTGGCGATTGAAGCATCGCCGCCGCCGCCGCCGCCGCCACCCTCCGCGACCCCCTTCTCCGGGATAGCGACGCTGAGCGGGGGGGTGTCCCCGGAAAACGGTACCTCCGCAGCAGGTGGCGGGCCCCCCAAAACCACGCTGTCGGCAGCGGCGGCGGCGGCGGCGGAGGCGGCCGAAGATCCGTCAGCACCGCCGACCGACGCCGAGATCTCGTTATCTGCAGTCGGGACGACGACGTCGGCCGGTGGTACACCAGCATCATCGGCCGGCAAGCCCGATACGGAGGCGGGCGCGGTACCGGTAGCGGAAGAAGAAGCGTCGGGGGTGCTCCCGAGGTCGTTGCTCTCCACGTCTGCTGCGATGCGGCAACGGGCCAGCGGCAGTTGCCGGAGTGAAGCAGGGCGCGTCGACGATGTACATGAGATGGTAGCGGCACAAACATATCCAAAAGTGGGAAAGAGAACCGACCAGAGCAGAGTCGGACAATCTAAAAAAACAAAATCGCGCGGACGCGCGAGCGGAATCCTGCCACAAACAACACGCGGCTAATAATACTACAGACACAGACCGTGCTGCCGTGAAAAAAACTTGCACGAGACAGCGAAGGGCTAAAAAAAAACAAAGGGTGGCCGAAACACGTCAACCACAATCGAATCATCATCGTGGGCCCGCTTACCCGGCACTCCCGAAGACGACGCGGTTATTGGAACACCCCCGTCAACGGGGGGTTCTGCAGAATCCGCAGCCGTGTCCGGCGGGGGGACGACCCCGCCCCCTCCTCCCGCCGTGTCGGGAACAGATGCGTCACCGGTTTCGGGGGCGGACATTTGTCCTTCGCCCGCATCATCGCGACCCTGCGGCGAGCTGCTCGCCACGCCTGGCAGCACGGGGATTTGCTCCAGCGGCGGTGGCGGCTGCTTGTCGTCCGACCCATTCAGAGCGGACAGGTTGCTGGCACCGCCTGCGGGAGTTACCTGGCAAGGGCGGGCCGTCCCAGCAAAATGCGCGAAAGAAAAAATAAAGCCGACAAGCGTTGTTGGTTTTCGAGGCCTGATGTGCGAGATCCCTGGCTGTAGGCACGGGAAGGGGTCGCTGTGGCGCAAGGCCCTTAACCCCTTTGGGTCTAGGCTGGACTGTCACATATTTTTTTTGCGCCAAAAAAAAAATTAGAGCGAGAGCGAGCGGGAGAGAGAGAAGTGCAAAGAGAGACACCAGTGTACTTCTGCAAACGCAACAGCTATCTCCAACTGTAGGCCATGAGAGAAGCCGGCGACAGGGTGGTGGCCACAGACAGGGTCGTAGAAGGGTTGATGGGTGGTCGCGCTGCGGTCAGTAGGGCAGGTTAGCTGTGTAGACTTTGAAATGATCAGTCGTCTAGCTGCCTCAACTAGTCTATTTTCGGTATATTGTAAATGATCAGTCCAGAGAGGGCAAAATGATCAGTGAAGACCCATAGCTGGTATTTGTACTTCTGTACTTCTCTGTTCTCTGTCCCCCCCCGAATGTGCCCTGCCAGCTCTCTAGAGCTCCTGTGTTTTTCAAAGAACAAGCACATCCACCAGCACACACCTGTACCTCGTGGTTTCCTAGGTTCGGGCGAGGGTGGTATGTGTGGCGCTACGAGTGTGGATATGTTGCTGATATGTTTTACTCGTCTACAGCAGAAGTAAGTAGTGTTGTTGTAGCGTTCGTTGTAGCTGCTGACACAATGACTACTGGATCTTGGGAACGATTTTCAAATTGTTGGGAACCACGATATCCTCGATATCTGGGCTTCGGCAGGGATTGCAATACCCCTCCCTTTTGCTGTCCTCTGCTCTTTGCAGCAGCAGTGGCTTCCTACGTTCGGGCGAGTGTATGTGTGGTGCTGCGAAAGAACACATATGTATGTATGTATGTATGCACACACACGTTCATTGACATGTGCATACGTTAAGAGATTCATGATTTGGCATTGATTGGCCCCATTCCCATTCCCGAGACCTTGATATTACCCGCCGCTGTCACTGAAAGTCTCTTCATTGGTCAGCCGGTTAGCGCGGGTCCTAATAATCTAGACACACCTACCTATGGACTTGCCAATACACGGCGCGAAGGGCTGCAGGGCGGCAACTCCACGACTTGCCACTACACCAGCATTTGCAAATGATCAATCAATGATCAGTGAGAAAGCCTGAAGACTCAAAAGGGTTAACAGCGAAAAAAAAGAGATTTCGTCTACGGTGTGTACGACAGCACAACACACATGGCCCATGCAGTGGACTGCTTCCTGCACCCTCCAACAGCATTCTCGTGTTTCCTTCTTTACTTTCTGTTTTCCTCGAGTGTCCCCTTCTCCTCCCCCCCCCCAATTTATCTCGCTCTCGCGGCCGCTCTGTCCTATGCCTCAACCCCATCCCCCCTCCAAAAACCCGAAGGAGGATTCCAAACATCTGCACACAACCATTGGATGTCCAAAACGAGTGACGCCACCGCAGCGAAGCACAAGGGCCCGACTTCGATTCTCGGACTGGACACCATGAAACGGATAGACGGTACGGTTTTGAGTGAAACCTATGACTATTAGTTGTTGTGGTGAAGACGTCGACACAGCATCAGGACCCTGGATGCCAAAGAAGGTGCAACAGGAAGATATGGGAACCAAACACCTCGATAGAGCCAACAAGGTGCAGAGGAAGACACGGGAACCAAAGGCCAAACAGACGTGGCAAAGATAGCTACTCTCGATCGGTAGCTACCGAGTTGGATGGACAAAAACGTGTCGGGCTCTCACCTCGTCATTGCCGACCGCCGCGGCGGCGCTACTCGCAGCAGCGAGTCCAGCGACGGGGGGGGCGTCACCGCCCTCGACATCACTCATGCCCGGCGGCATTGTCGCGATCGCGTCGCCCGGGGGTACATCGGCGGCGGCGGCGGCGGCGGCGGTGGCGGGATCCGAAGTGCTAACCTCGATGACGGAGGAGGGTGTGGTCAGTGTGTCCCGTATCGCCGCCATCTGGCTGGTAGAGTCGACCGAAGGCTCGTGGTTGTCGTCGTCACCGCCTGCACATGATACCAACACCAAAGAGAGAGGGTGTGCGGTCACAGCAGGCATGAGGGAGGGGGGTGGAAGCCAGCACAGGAACACGGTGGTAGCGATACAGTTACTGTAGTCTTCACCCAACAATCCTATCGGCCGCGGGTATCGCGTTGGTTTCGAGCTGGTCGCGTGGGTTACTTCGGCCGCTAGCCAAGGTGTGTCGACGCGCGAATGGGCAGGGGGCAGGGACAGCCTTTACCCGCAACAACAACGCGCGTCTCCTCTTCGGAGAGCCCGGCAAACACGCCGTCCGAGTTGGCTAGCGCCGGAGCCGAACTTCAAAAGACGCACCAGACTTCGGCCAACCCGCCAACTCAACCAATCAAAACAACGCCACCCCCCCCCCTCCCCCCACTGCAAGTCGCATCTCGCAAAAGAGAGGCAAAATAGACTTGTACCACAGTATTACTCACGTTCTCGACCACGAGCTGCACAGAGGACATCAAAAACCATCAACAGGGTTCGCCTGTTCAACAACAGCTTTCGCCCACGGGCGAAGCCGATGGCTCCTTCGCGTTCTCACCGGAAACGTCTACCGGCAGCACGGCCGTTCCTCCCGGGAGCTCGACACCCTCCCCTGCGCCCGACACACCGCTAGCGGGGGGCACAGCAGAATCATCTGAAACCTCAGGTGCGGACCCACCACCGGGTGCCGGCGCTTCCGTGACGGAGTTGCCCGAGGTCGCGTCCAGGCTAGCGGCAACGGCCGCGGGCGACGCCGAGACGCTCACATCAGGCGCGGCACCAACACTCCCAGGCCCGTCAGGCGACTCGGTGTCGACGCCAGGAGTCACGGGAATGACGACTTCTGCGGTGGAGCCCTCGGGTGCAGAGCCGGTAGCGCCGCTGCCGTCGGGCAGCGCGGAGACCTCACCGGAAGCAACAACGGCGTCGGGCAGGGCGTCGCCGCCGCCGACGGACGTGGAAACGCCTCCAGGCAGGGAGGGCGGGGCCACGACCCCGTCGTCACCCAAGGCCTGTCGTGGCGAACGTAGCAGCACGATTGTTAAACGCACCACCGCGCACCAGACGCAACCATTGATAGGCGCACGGGTGGCGAACGAGAGTCGTCGCGGGAACGACAATACCGTGGGCCGCACCGAAAGCAACACAGTCTATCTACACCTTGCAACCAACCAACTCTCAGAGTTCAGGCCATACATACATACCCTACGCCAGACGCTCTCGCACTATAATACTAGGCGGTGTTCTCGCTGAACCCTACCGCAACACCTTGGGGCGGAGAAGCACTGCGTTCTCCCTGTTGCTACGTCCCCACATGTGTAAACACCGCAGGGGACGGCCTGCCCTCACACGCGCCCGCGAGGCACCAAGACTTACCTCCGTCTTCCCGTGCGGCGACGCCTTCCCGACCACCGAAACGGAGGGCTCGTCCGCCACGGACGGGCTGGCGTCCACGCCTCCAGAGGGAACCTGAAAAATACAGGCAAGTCGACCACCCCGAAATTTTCGGGTATTTCGTTTGATAAACCTGTGGTGACGTCTCGTCTACGATGGCTATATACGCCGGGAGAAGCCCGAGAGTCTAGGCGAAGCGGAATGTAGCTCTTATATACCCCGCCTTTCTTGCCTACGGTACTTGTAGCACTGCCGAGGGGGGCTGCTACTTGATAAACACGCGAGCGCACGAGGAGCTGCTGAATGGGACCCTCCCCGCGAAACCAACATTAAAAAAAGCACGCAATAAACCCGTAGGACACCCTCTCGGCGACCCGAGTCCGGATCGGGAATGCGTCGGGACAGAAAGCAACAGCTTCGGGTTGACAGACGCCGCAGCATAGCAAGTTACATTTTCACAACAGAAACCCGCAGAGTTGAACAAACGGTTCAAAGAAGAGTGACAGGAGGAAAAACGGGTGTGGGGAGGGGTGTTTGCAACACGGACCACGTCTGCCGCGATATGATAAAAAAAAAAATGCGGCAACAACGAAAACCGGCTGAAGCGTTGGCTGTATACTCCCGTTTAGCAGCAGCAGCAGCAGCGCGCTCTCGAGAACCCCCAAGAAAAAAAAAAACACACGCCCCAAATCATCTCCTCGTCACGCGCGTACACACCTCGACATCATGTGGTTCGTCGCCCGACGGACCTACTACGGGGGCGGCACCGTTGGCCCCCAACAACGCCACATCCGCAGTGCCTCCGACTCCAGCGTCCGCGACTGCGACAGGGAGGGAGTCCTCGCCGGAAGCACCCCCCCCAAGCTCGGACGAAGCCTCGTCCGGTCCAGAAGCGCCGCTTGTAGGGTCCACAGACGCCGCACCGTCGGCGCCTGCTGCGCCACAACGAGGAGCGCCGGCCGATTCGACGGGACACGAGAGAGGGTACGGGCACAAGAAGCACGCGCAAGCACGGGAAAACATGGTTACAAATTAGCACATGGCCGAGACAGAGCTGGCAACCATTTGGGCGCAGGGAGCCGCAGCCGGCCCGGCCGGTAGGGGAGAGATCCGTCTGGAAATAAAGTGGCGGTGGTGGTCTCTTGTTGTCCAGGTCAGCTAGCCTGAGTGTCGAGCCGCGTGTCGGCGTGGGGGCACAGGCGGATCGATAGAGACCTCCAACCATGCCCGCCACGACTGCTGTTGTTCTTTCGGAAGGGCACGTACAGCGACAATATGCAATACCACGGCTGCTAAAACAAAAAAATACATTTTTGTCTGCCCCGGTCAAAGGCAAGCACATCATCGCCCGACGCCCACAGCTCAACACTTGTTTGTTCTTCTGAGCCTCGGCATTCATCCGCGTTGCTGACAAAAAAAAAAAAGACGCGACTCACCGAGCGCACGCGCCCCTATCGAAGGCACCACGTCTGAGTCGGCCAACGGAGCGTGCACGTCCACGTCCACCGGAGGAGGACTGCTCACACCGGCGACAGCCGAATCGCCCAACTCCTCGGCGGCGATCCCAACAGTAATGGGCTCGCTGTCCACTGCATCAGCGAGGGGTGCTGCTGTCACCGTGGAGGCATTCTCTGCGCCATCGACGCCGGCGACGGCGGCATCTTCCGCGATAGCGGCGGCGGCGGCCAATCCGGTGCCAGCGGGTTTACCATCCTCCGCGGCCTCCGAGGCAACGGCTGCACTCGCCGCCGGTCCTTCTCCGCCAGCCGCCCGCAGTTCCAAAGCCAGCGTCTCCTCCTCCTCCATCTCCTCCTCCTCCTCCTCCATCGCGTCCGCGTAGGCCCCCGAGTTTTCCCGCGGAGCGAAAATCTCGTGCAGGGGGTCGCTCGCGGTTGGCTCCACCGCCTGGGAACGGGACCCTGGTGCGGTCGGCGGCAGCCGCAGCGACACGCCTCTTCCCCCGGCGTCTGCCGCGCCGTCCTCCTCGGGCGGAGCAACCGGGGAGCTTCCCGCCGCGTCGAGTTCGCCCGCCGCCGCCGCCGCCGCCGCCGCGGGGCTCCCTGCAGCGCCAGGTGTCCCCGCCGTTTCACTCGCCCCGTAGTCGTCTCCCTTCGGCGCCAACAGCGGCGGCGGCGCGGCGGCGCGGTCGCCCTCAAGAGGAGAAGCAGCGCGAGGTGGCGGCGTTGCGCCACCACCACCGCCGTCGGCTTCGACGTCGTCGGCCGCAAGGAAGAACTCTTCTTCTTCATCGTCATCCGTGCCGGCGTTGTCCCCGCTCTCGCCACCGTCCTTTCCCGAGACGACGCCCACGCTGGCTTCTACCTTTGGTTCTACAGCAGCAGCGTCTCCAGCCTTGTCCACGGGACCGGGGGACGATGCCGCCGGCATACCGTTCTCGCTTCCATCACCTCCAGCGACGTCCACGCTGGCTTGTGCCTTCGGTTCCACAGCAGCAGCATCTCCAGCCTTGTCCGCGGGACCGGGGGACGATGCCGCCGGCATACCGCTCTCGCTGCCGTCACCGCGATCCTTGCCCACAACGCCCACTGCCTCGGGTTCTACAGCAGCGGTATCTCCAGCCTTGCCCGCGGGACTGGGGGATGATGATGCCGCCGCCGGATACAGCCCGGCCGTAACGACGGAGGCAACCCTGGAGAGGACCCCGAACCGGGATCGAGGGGTGCTGCCCCCGCTGGCTTGTGGCTTCGGTTCCGGAGTGCCTCTAGCCTTGCCCGTGGGAACGAAAGATGCCGCCGGGGTACCGCTCTCGCTACCGCCACCGCCACCCGTACCCGAGACGCCCACTGCCTCCTCTGGTTCTACAGCAGCACCCGCAGCCTTGTCCGCGGGACCGGCGGACGATGCCGCCGCCGCCGCCGCCGCCGGATTCAAACCGGCCGTATCCACGTAGACAGGTTTCGAGAGGATCCCGACGGGGGCTCGAGCGGCGCTACCCATGCTCGCCGAGCGGCGCTTCGTGATGCGGGCGACGCGGGGAGACGGTGCCGCCGCCGCGCCGACCGCGTTCGGGCGGCGGGAAGGAGCCGCGGCACCGACCAGCGGCGCCGCGGCGGCGTCGTCCCCGACGCAGAGCTTGCAGGTGCGCTTGAGCTCCAGGCTACCGGCGCCGGGCACGGGCAGGCGCGCAGGCGAGCACGGCGCGCAGACCGGCTCGAGGCACCGGCGGCACCGGTGCGGGCGGCGCAGCTGCGTGAACTCGGCCTCGCACACGGCGCACCACCGCAGCAGCGTCATCGACAGCTCCGACGACAGCGAGGAAGAAGAGTTGGTCCGCGTGAGGGTGCCCCGGGGCCGCGTGCCCACCGCCGACATGGACGCCGTCGACCAGGAGGAACGCCGGCTGCCGCCGCCGCCGCCGCTAATGCTGCTGCCGCCGCCGCTAACGCTGCTGCCGGGCGACCCTACCACGGGGGTGGCAGCGGGTCGCCCGACGGAAGACCTGAGGCTGCTGGACCTGCGCTGCTGCGGCATCTGCTGCTGCTGCTGCTGCCTCGTCTTCCATTTCCGCCCGGAGATCTCGGGCGTGGACACGATCGAGAGGCGGGAAGAGGTGGACGCGACGGAAGAGGTGTCGGAGTCGTCGCCGGCCAGGGAGGAGACTTCCGAGTCGTACGACGAGCGGGAGACGGAGCCGCGCTGCTGCCTCCGCCGCCTGGACTTGGACTGCTGCTTGAGCCACTGGCGCCGGTCCAGCTCTGTGTTCGAGGCGGAGTCGGGGATCTGGACTCGCGCCTGCAGGTGGATGGATGGACGGGCACCAGGGCAAAAGAGAGCGAGCGAGAGAGAGGAGGGCCGAAAGGCAGGCGCCCAACTCAATGTCAACACGCACTCACTCACACAAAAAAAATGATACCTAGTACACTGAAGAGAGAGAGGGTTGTAAGGCAGGCGCCTTGTGGCGGTGAACACGCCCACCAACAATGATGGTACATTTAAGAAGGTCGAGATCGAGCTGTGCACGAGGCCATTTTCGAGCAATTAAACGTATCTGCGGCGTATCAACATTGAAGACCTCCGAGGAGAGAAGTGAAAGTACGCACCCCCTTGGCTCCCCGCACCCTACCACAGCGCACGAAAACGCAAGCCATGCTCCTGATAGATGTTGTGTGTGTGGGCATCGGATGCTCTACTTTGGCCGGGGCACTTAGAACGAGACCCGTCGAGCGCTACTGTTGCGGTTTTGAAGAACAGGCGGATACCGGCAGCTCAAAAGAGCCGCTTATGAGAAAATGTCTGCTTCGGAATCCGAGATGCCCTGAGCGAAGCTCCGATCAACGAATGGACAAGACACGACTACTACCGTGGCTGGTGCCCCGCCGTAGCACAACAAGAACAAGTCTACGAAAGGCTGCGGGCAGTATTTACGACCTCGTGCCGCAAGAGGCACTACAAAGTGTTAAGCCGAAGTCGAAAAATAACAAAGGGCACTAAACGCTGTACACAACAATCACGACCGGAAGAAAGCAAAAAATTCGGGAGCCGTCGAAACCTAGCTGCTACATGCTGCTGCGTGCAATTTCCGATGTTGATCCGTTCGATTTTCTTTGGCTCGTTGTAAACCATGGCGATAAAAGCGTGGCCTGTTAAGAGGGGGTCCCACTGCAGCCTCGGCCTAATGGCTTGGATATTTTTGTCTTATCTCTCACTTATGTTTGATGTGCAAACCTCTGCCCTCCTGGCGTACGTACCAAGTGTGGGTGTTGGGGCTGGCCTCGTCAGCGAAAAAAGACAAGGTCCCGGGCTTCGTGCGCACCGGGTCTGCTTTTGTGCACGACACTACAAGTACACAGTAGCGCACTCGATTCTTGAAGTACACAAGGCGGAGGGGAGCAGAGGGCTCTGCTTCCTTGAACTACCGCAAGCTCCCGATACCGTACCCTCGACTCTATACCTTTATGTTGACCCTCGTGACCTTACGCCCTTGGGGTCGCTCTGTTTCGTGTCACTTGTGCTCTGGTTGCTGTGAGATGGTAGCTCGTCACCACTTGCGGGATGGATGTCTTCGACAACGTAAATTATCTTGCCTATCGAATGAGAAACAGGAGGAGGGTTGGCACAGAAGGCCGGAGGGTTTTCAGCGTCAACTCCCTGTACAATAGCTGTCCGTAGTTTTGGTGGAAGGAGGGGGGTGTTGTACTCATGTTTTCGCATCGTATGTACAGCAGTACTGCTGTGTAGTATATACCCTACTGCTGCTGTACTTCTTTATTAAGTTCATCCAGTTTCGCGGTCCAAGATGATGGCGTGGTACACAAGTGAACACCGCCGTGAGAGTGCGAGCGAGTGCACTCTTATCCGCTATATTGTAGTATATACATGAGCTCCGCCACAACCGAAAGGCTGCCAACGCCGAAAAAACGGCGATGCTGGAGAGATCTCGCTACCATTTTCCCTGCACCTGTGTGCATACTGCTGTAGACTTCATATTTATTCATTCTCGGTCGTACAGCAGTTGTAGCTCACTGCTGTATGCTGCAATATTCGTTCGCTCTTACACAAAAGCTGTGGGGCAATCGTGCCTTGAATAAATTTGGTCTATATAATAGTCTATGACGTGGGCGATCGGTACGTTTGTAGTAGCATCTGCGGCAGACTGGACGCACACAAATCAAGGTGTACTAAGCAGCAGCACCACCCGCGGATGATCTCTCTTGCGCGTATGCGCAACTAATGCATCATATGTGTACGCATGTTGTCGAAAATGAACCCGTGTACTCCTATGAAGACTATATGCAACTAGACCGCGTGCGTACTCCTGCGTGTGTTCCCTGAATCCCGGAGCAAGGCCCCGGGGTTTTGGGGAGTACTCCCCGCGCTAATAGACCGCGTGCGTACTCCTCCGTGTGTTCCCTGAATCCCGGAGCAAGGCCCTCGGGGTTTTGGGGAGTACTCCCCGCGCCCCGATACATGCACGGGACAGATACATGCGTGCACCGTCCTAAGGAAAGGGACGACCTCGGGGGGGCCAATCACATAGCACAGAGAGCCCCACGGCCCTTGGCGACGCCGGCATGGTGACATGATGACGGTGGTGACATCAGACCCCCCCGGCGGCATGTTTACATGTTTTCCCCCCGGACAAACGCGTGTGTTGGTTGAACACATGCTGATGACGTTGGGACGATGATAATCTCACTCTAAATGAACACGCAATCATTACACACACCTGCAAGATCGGGGCATCGGAAACGGCAGCAGCAGGCGGTTGTCCCTGTTGTCCCCGGTCGTCTTCAGCATCCCCCGCGCCTTCCGCCAAGGAAGATAGCTTTCGATCGGCGCTGTCGTTCTCCTTTTGAATGGGAACCCGAAACGACCCGAACCCGCTTGCAGCACCCGATGCCGTCGCCGCCGCGGTCGAGAGGAACTGGCTGCCGCCGCTCTCGTTCGCAGCCGCCGCCGGGGAGGCGGCCGTCGGCACGCCGTCACCATCGAGCTTCCCGTGTAGGTGTGCCAGCGCCCTGTCCAGACCGAACCCCAGGCGATGGTGAACGGAGCTCCTCTTCGTGAGGTCATCCGCTAGACTCGCCAAGCTCGACTCGCGGGATCTGTCATCGCCCGAGCCAATGGACTGCAGCTCTTCGACGCTCATGCTGTGTTGAGGTTTTGAAGAGGATGGGGTTGGAGGGCGGGGGGTTGATCTACATGTATTTGGTGGAAAAAGGCTGCCTGGTGGGTGTGTTCAATGGGTGTGTTCAATGCTGGCTATTTCGGCGGCACATCTTCGGAGATCTTGTATCGCTTCAGGTTGCAAGTTCACCCGCACCCCGCCCCCTTCCCAATCTCGGCCATGATATCTACGGCTGTAGGGCTCTTACAATCACAGCGGTGACACAAGAGGATTCTCTGATATCCTGGACATGTAATCATGCTGCTGTTGTCGTGACCCGGGTTGCTTTTGTACTCACGCATTAGGCACGTGTATTTCTGTATTAATATTATTATTGGTACAAAATAGGAGGAAATTATTGGTACAAAATAGGAGGAAACGAAACACACACACACACGAGCACAGCAATAATAGTAGTGTTGTGGTATGTACAGCAGTAGCGTGATTTGCCTCTCGCCTCTGTGAGACCGTTGCCATTCCTTACGTGCTTTGTCTCAGTGTGGATCTCTTGCGATTCTGCTCGCCTCTCCCCCGTGCAACCGCGGTTTCTTGAGCCGATCGCCTCTTCTTCTAGCGTAGCCGGTTTGATGAGCAACAACGTCGGCGTCGTCCCAACACAAAAACACGCGCCCTTGACAATTAAAGTCTAACATGTTGGATACCAGTTCTGCCCGTTCCACCACGTTTCGAGAAGACGTGTCAGGTCCTGCATGCATCACGTATGGCTGGCGAAGCTGATTCGGCTGGGGTGTGCAGTCAACAGATGATTTCGCTTTTTCTCCCTAACAAACTCGTCGTGCCACTCAATCATTTTCTCTGTAGACGGAATAAATGAAAAAAATAAGGTCTCGACCTGAATTTGACGTTTCTTATTGTGTTCGCTCCCCCTTTGTCTTTATACCGCAATCGGTCTATGTACAGCAGCAGCAGTACCGCTTTGGTACGGAGAGGATCGCTCGGCGATCAAACATACGGTAGTCATCAAGCTGCACGTTGTTGCCCAAACGGCCTTCTGCCTGTGGGTCCGCCCTCTAACGATAAGTGATACCAGGTGTGGCTGAAAGATCCCACCGACTGCGAACGGAAGCCGGACTGCGTGACATCCTTCTCTGGGCAAGTGGGAGTTATCGAAGCCATCTCGGCCTATTCGCGTAGAGCTTGTATTGCAGAAAATCGCATAGGGTACAGCGCCGGAGACGGCACTGCTGTAACCCTGAACATACGTATGTATGGATAAAACTTGTGAAGTTTGCCCTTGGAGGGAAAGGTAAGTACGTCCCTTCTCCCAAACGGCCGTCCTGATCATCGTGCTTGAGACACACAAATACACACGTCCGTCGTACAGGTGATGGGTACGCTGCTGAAACTACACCGCGCGATTAAGTCAACCCACAACCCAACCCTTTCCTAACGAGCTATGCATTACAGCGCGAGAGCAGCGAGCTAACACACAGACGGCGTTTGAATGCGAAAACCGCCTCTGGGACCTCCATCCCGCGTATGTCCTCGTCAAGGTCCATGTGCTGTCTCCGTCCAGAAGGCCCAGCCCGTCGGTAGAAGAGGGGCCCGACTCTTGAGGCGTCGTTTATAACCCGTCAGACGGTAGAGCAGTTGGTGTCTAAGGCGAATTCGCGCTAGCGGTCGAAAACCAAACCCGGTGGGGACTCCGAAGACTCGGGGGTTACAGATGATTGCAAGGCAGGAGCAACCGGAGTTTCAGTACGCGTCCAAGACGCAGAATCCAATCCATGAGCCTGAGGCGCGGCAGGATTCGGGGATAAACCATCAGCACCGGTAGACGAAACCGAAATTGACGAAACTCGCGTCGTCAACGATGCCGAGGACGTCGTCTGAGACCGTCGAGGCGGCCGAGTCGAAGTGGAAATCCGTGTGGGAGGCGGAGAAGGCGGGTCGTCAGAGAAACCATGATCAACAGGCGGGAGTGGCTTGCCCGCCACAACCGCCTTGAAGCGACGAGCCCGCGTGGAAATCGCTTGAGTAGTGGCGACGGTCCGACGTGGCGTGACAACTGCCGGAACGGTCGACGAAGACTCAGGCTCGAGAGCAAAATCATCATCCGAAGACTGACGCAGAGAGTCGGACGAAACGACAGGAGGCCGATCGGGGATTGTCGAAGAGGCCGAAACGCCGAGCGTCGTGGGAGGCCAGGGAGCGATGTTGGAGACGCTAGACGAAAGCGGAAGGCCCGATGGTGAGAGACGCGGACCGTGACGACGAACATCGACGAAATCAGCCTAGAGGGGGCAAGCCCCACTCAGGACCGAACTAGGAGAAGTCGGTACGAGCCCACCCAAGCCAACATCCGCGGCCCTAGGGTACCGCCACCAAAACGGATGAAAAACACGACCTCCTCATCCTCAGCCGGTGTCAATCGGCTGCGGCCTGATCGGTCACATTCGGCCGCATCGATCGGAAGACGAGAGAGGAAACCAGCGTTGCTATGCGCGGAACCCTTGTGATAACCCATAGTGAAATTGTAGACGGTACGGAGTTCTAGACAACGTTGAACACGGGCATTGTTTCCCCCCATCTTGGCAAAACGCCCAAGAGATTCGTGGTGGGAAAAAATACGAAATTCCGTACCCACAAGTAACCGCGAAGTCGTTTGGTATACTGTAGTACACCACCCGATGCTACCCGCCTCAAGATCGAGGGGAGTCCAATGACGTTTGGAGTCACATTAGCCCGGCTGATGAAGACGATGGGGCGGATAGAGCCACCCGGCTGTTTTTGTTCGAGAGTCCCACCGAACCCATCGCGACTGGAATCACAGTAAAGGTGAAACGGTCGCGAGCCGTCCGAAACGGCATTCCAATCTGGATGAAACCAAAACAGGAGGGTTGGCCAACTCTGACAACCGAACGCGAACGGCTTGCTCCGTAGATGGGGTGAAGAGAAACTCCACCTGCTTCTTGAGAAGAGTGGTCAGAGTGAGGCCGAATGTTTAGCCACGTTGGGGAGAAACTTGCGAAAGTAGCTGAGGCCGTCGAGGAGAGAACGAAGTTGCACAAACCGAATCGGCAGTCTTTCTGTGCGTGTATATATTTTTCCTTAAACCCTAATCCTAACTGCGACCTAAAGAGTCCAGAACTAATTGCTGTCCCACAGATACTTGTAGATGTTCCATGGGACGTCCCACCACGTGAACCTCCCAATAATTAATGCATGTAGCCGAATCGCGTTGGTTGAAGTCCTCAGGAATTGAATCCCACGTCCCACTAAAACCTAACAAACTTAAAATAAGAAACGCAGCAAGGCGACGAAGCGCGGGCCCATGCCCTGCATAAACAACAAGCCATTATCACATTATCACCACGTTCGAAAATGCTCGCTCGCTACCGGAAGAAAATAGATATATGAATGTCGACACTCTTCCGATTGATTTGTGTGCCCTACTAGACTATGCATAGCTATCCACCATACAGTACTGACCGCTGAGTACGAGCTGCACTCCCTTCGGATTGGGGGCGCAACCTATTCGGCGGCGGGGGCATTCGTCGGACGTTCTCCGTAGGAAGGGGCGATGGTGCGGGGAGAGTAGTTACCAAACAAAGTGAGTACCAAAAGTGTAGTGTTCCGAATGTTCGGGGTGACGCTGCTTGGGGTCGGGGGTGTGTTGGCGAAAACGGATATGTATATATGTTGGCTACGCAACCCGGGTACAAGAAGATGGGTTTTAGTGTGAGGTGTTCGGTTATTTTGTGCGTGTTGGGTGACAGCAGTGAGGCAGAGGGTAGCCGAAGCGTGATGCGCGTTTGGTTCGTTCGAGTGCGAGTTGATGTGGGCGATACGCTTGGTATTGCGTAGTGGGCTCTCGTGGGAAAGGGGGGTGGGAATTCAGTAGTATTGCACACCAGCCGGCGTGGGGGGGAGCAGACAGAGTCGCCTGCGAGGATGACCTCCTTTGGGTGACGAGCGAGAACGGCCTCTTCAACAACCATGCGCGATAAGATATCTCGTGGAGAAGAAGCAGGACTGACTGGAATCTCTGTGGCTGGTGTTTATCACTGATGATGGTGGACGTGTAGACCGGGGAAGGAAGTAAGTACATAGTGTGGTTTTTGTTGCCCCGGTCTCCGCTTTTCTCTCCCCCTCCTTGGCGAGCAAAGGGAGGTACACGCGAGAAAATGAATCCCAACTTCGAAAGCATCGAGCAAAAAAGCGAAAGATTGACCCAAAGACCCAAAGGCAATCTGTTTTTGTGAGGTGCGGCAGCAAACCGTTGGCCAATCAGAACGCAGGAAGAAGGCGGGTCAGTACTTGTATGCATAAAGGTGCTTCTGTTTTCCGTCATCACTCGCTTTGTTGTGATCATCGGCTGGTGGTGTGGTGATGCGAGCGAGTGAGCGTGTGTAGTGGCCAAGGAGTATCTTTTGCGTGACGTTTCTTTTTCCCATCCACCCACCGCTGCTGTGCACAGCAGTGCACTCCACGAAAATCAATTTTTTATGTTGGGATCAAAGGGAAAAAAACCAACCGTGAACCGCGTCCGAAAATTTCAAATTCTGAGATTCCTTCTGCTGTCGGCTCGTCGGCTCGTCGGCTCGTCGGCGAGATGAACGACGAAACGCTTGCAAGTACAGAGAGACAGAGAGAGAGAGTAAAAGTTACGGGGATGTTCCGATTCTTATATAATTGTATCGTTTGCTTCCCACGTGCATCACCTCTGCAGTTGGGGCCGCCGCCAGTTTCTACCGTGTGTAATGTTGCCCCCACAACAGCCACAGCTCCTGCTCTATTTCTATTCCTCCGTTTATCAACTCGTGCGCCACGGCTCTAAAATACACCTCGAAATTAGTACTCTTCCGATACTGAATGGAGTGATTATGTGAGATCTGATCTGGTAGCTGGTCGGAGCCGTTGGTGGCATCTCTGGCTCTCTCTCTCTAGCATGTTTTTTTTTTTTTCATGTCTCGCCGCCCCCGCTCGTGGTCTCAATCAACAACAGCGCACACCCCTCTTCCCTCATCCGACTATCAGCTTCTCCCCACCTGCACTTCTGCACACCTAGACCTGCACTCGAACAAGGTGAGGAAGCACGAGCAATAGTTTTTTTTGTGTGCGCGTGCGTGGATCCGTCTCCCTCGTTTGCTGGTGATGAAATACGTATCAGGTATCTCGCATCATTGTTCCTTCCGATTCAAAAAGCCAAAGTCATCAACGTTGTTTGCAAACAAACGCTTCGCACTCGAAACAAGTTGGTCGAGATCAAAGGCGAGCGCAAGCAAAGAGTGCGTGATTGCGCGATCGCCCTTGGTTGGGGCTGCCAGAAGGAAGGCTTGGTTGCACCTCCCGCCGCGCAACCAACCAACCGCTGTTTGTCGTTTGATGAGCGGACAATCAATCAAATATTACAATTGATATTTGATATATTTTATTACCCCCGACTCTTTGAAACGGACTCCGCAACGAATAACCCCAGCCTTCTGCCAGCACGCGCGGACGCGTTGTTCCAGGGGGGCAAGGGCGCTGTGGGCGAACACGCTGCGGCATCGCGCGCACTCCAGAGCAGCAGCAGTGTCATTTTAGCTGGGTTAATTTACACGTTTACATTTTCTAAATCGTTTTATGGTCTGGTAGATGAATCCATCTGTGGTGGATCTTCGGAGTGAGGGAACCCATCCGATTCGAAAAAAAATCACAGAGCCCTTCTCGCTCTCTCTCCTCTCAACCAATCCCCTCTTGCCCACCCAGCGTTTCGCTCGACCGCATACAGGTCAGGGGCGACGTTGGTCTCAAAAATCACAGGAAGTGTAATCAGCTCTTTCTCCCTTTGCCTTTGCCGCGCCCTGACGTTGTGTGTATGTACCTACGTGTATGCGGAGTTTTTTCACGGATGGATGAGAAATTTGTCAACAATCCCCCTGTGCTCTCCACCCACGCTCGCTGCTGCTACAGGTGCATATGTGTGCGTACCGCTTACAGCAGAAGCTATTGTAGACCTTTGACCTTTGACCCGTTGCCTACGAAGTTGGGAGGGACATAATCGAAGCTGCTTTGTTGCCCTAGAATCATGGGGGAGGTCATCACGCAACCCTACCCGCGGGGGCTTCGTCCGCCACACAATAGCGGTTCTTCTTTGCATGTCAACGTGCGCCGGGCGGTATTGCCACGCAGCAGGAGGAATAACCTTGCTGCGGCCGTTTTCTCTCGAACGGGTAGACGTATTGTTGTAGATATACCCCGAGTACGAACTACAATTTTCTAGAAATATTCACCGGGTGTTCTGTGCCCATCATCAGCTGGTGCCCATGATTGTTAGTTATCGTCGACCCCCCATATGCGTATGTATCGTACTCCAACCTACTTAACTTGATTTAGCTTACAGCAGCAAGGGCCGTGTATGTAATCTGGGCGCCAGTCCACACTTCTCCGTACCAGGGTTCCACGCACTCTTTACCATACCAGGTCATAAAACCTGGTATTAATAGTATTTTTTTGGCGTTTTCGTCCTACATGGATGGGAAACTTCAGAATATATCGTTCTACAAGCTTGAACCTCCGGGCGATGTCTGTTGCCACACTTGGTTTTGGCCAATGCACCGCTGTAGATAGAGCTTCACACAAGCCAGATCAGAGGTATCTGTTGCATATTTTCAGGGTGTGATTTATTGTTTTCAATTTACACCCCAAAAACTACTTCTACTGCTGCTGTGCGTTGGTATTTACTGCAGAGAGAGAGAGAGATATAAGATGAATCTGTTTTTTCGCGGCGGTCACAAAGAAGGTTGTGCATTCAAACATCCAAATTACGAAGTACTCTACCATGTTTTTTTCTTGCTTCTTGCAAGACAAGAGGTGTGTTGAGCTTCCGACATGAAAAAATTCTGTTTATGTTGTGAGCCGTTCATCCGGAATCATGGTCATCGCAGCTCGCTCTCGATCAGACCTCTGACTTACAATCCCGTCTGAGATGAGCTCCCGAATATCACCGCTGCACATTCAATTTCTCGTCAAACGCGTACAGCAGTTCTTTGATTTCTCGTTCGCAGCGGTACCGTGTGTATTGTACATGTGCCCCAAGACACTTCTTTCTGACACCCACAGCAGCACAGCAGTGCAGTGATGACTGGCGTTCGTTTACTTGTTTTTTTGGCGTCTGACTCCCCTGCCCCCCCTCCCCGCGGCGACCCTCTGTGTCTGTTTGCGAATGTTTTCCACCCGCGGCCCCGTTGCGTTCGTTCGCAGCTACAACAGCTCCAGGCTCGTTCAAAATCATCTACTGCAGAAGAATGGCGTTCCGTGTGTGTTCGGTGCTGTTGGCTCTCGTCATGGCAGTCGCCGCCTCCGCCGAAACCCTCGTGAGTGATGCTGCAAAAAAAAAGTACTCCTTGTTTTAGGAAACCCATTGTTCGCGCTTTTTGCTTTCGAAGAAGGTAACCAATGTTGCGACGTCTACGTAGTGTCTGCTGAATCTCCTCGTCACTGCTGTTTTGTTTTGTGTTTCGGGTTCCGTTTTTTACTTGAAAACCGGTGCTTTGGTTCAGATCCCAAGTGTTTCCTCGCCACGCGGGAAAATGACGCAAGAACGGAAGGCTCGGGTTGATGGCGATTTTTTCTCCTCACGTGACACGTGTTCCAGATATTGTACCAATGCCATGGCGACCCTCGCGCGTGGTGGCGAGTACTCTCTCTCTCTCTCTCTCTCTCTCTCTCTCTCGCTCTCTCTATATATATATCGGTCAAAGGCCGCTGTCTTTCCCCTGCTATTATACCTGGACTGGCGTCTGCACAGCTGTGTAGATGCATGTCTGTATTGTTGCTCTGTGGTGGTCAACCCCCATTGTTTGGCAAAGTAGGAAGGAACGATTGGCCATCGTTAGCCACCGTTCCATTGCTATACGACGTCTCGAGGACGACGTCTGGCATGCAAACCATGGGTACCCCCCCCCCCCCCTATCCTGCGCGTGCCATAATATGTACTTCGCACCTTGTTTCGAAATACGTACTATGTCTCGGTGCGTTGTGTCTCTTCAGATCCCGTTGTGCGTGGTCAGCGCCGACTCGTCGTTCGAGACCCTCCACGCGACGGCGGCCGAGGCGGAGAACTACCCGGACGCCCTGGAGGGCCCCTGCAACGAGTTCCTCGGCCAGCTGTGCGACGACAGCCTCAAGTGCACCATGGACTTCGACTACGAGGAGGTGAAGTGCCTGCCCGAGCCCAGGGAGGTGATGGACAGCTGCGTCGAGACGACTGAATGATGAGGCTGGCAGGGGTTAGGCTTGGAGGGCCCGGAAGGACGGACGGAGGGGGCGCGAATGGAGCCATGTTTGGGAGGGAGGGAGGGCGGGGCCCGCCGAGCGTGGCGACGGGTCGGCGCAGCTCGCTCGACTACCGGAAGTGTTCCGCCCTCTTGTCGAGGCTCTGCTGGTATAGAAAGATGGTACAACCCGCGGGGCGTGGGTCGCTTCGATCGGAGCAGTAGCGTATGGTGTGTGACAATAGCTGTCTTCTTACAAAAGCTTTGTGCGAGAGTATAGGCACAGAGGACGCAGGGGCCTGTTTTGTTTTTGTACGATATTCACCCCGCCTACGTATCCTCCGGGTAGGGTGACCGGGGCCCATTTTCTACCGCCACGGGGAGTACTCCTTGCCCGCCGATGCCCCCCATCGACAGCATGACGTGGATCGATCTTATAGGGCTAGCTTCCTTGTGAAGCACGTGTATCCGTTGGGTATATCGATCTCTTGGTTTTGAGGGGAGGGGGAAGGACGGGATGTGTGTGCTTTTTAACGACCTCTGGGAGATGCTGCGGTTTCTGGCGCAACTATTCCTTCCCCAAGTATCTAGCTGTGTCCGGGAACTTGTAGATGTGTGCCGTGCCTTCAGTTGAAGTACGCGTCTTGGCCTTGGTCTTTGTTGTTCCAAGATAAATGGCCCGTGCTCCTGGCGGTGGGTGTCCCCCCCCCCCCCCCCCCCCTGCC